GTGTCGAAAGGTGGGCTGTCGTTGCCGTGGTATCGATGCGTTGGGCCTTGAGCATCCCAGGTGAAAAGGATGGGTAAGCGTCCTTGGTGTGGTTGTCGGCGTCGAGTAGGAATTCCCAGCTGCGCTGAGGGGACGCGTTGAGTATGTTAGCCCATTCAGGTTGTGGGTGCGGGTAGTCCTCGATGCGGGCGTAGTTGGCCGCGGCGTCGGCAACTTCGTTCCACGGGTTCATCTCGTGGGCGTGAACGTGACGCAGGTCAACATATTCCTTGACGTGCGAATACATGATCACCAGTAGCTGCACGAGGTGGGCGTCTCGGTTAGTAAAAGCCTCCATCCTTGCCAGTTGGATCGCTCCCAGCGAGTCGGAGTGGACCGAGATACTGTGGTTGATGTCCTTGTGGATAATGTAGGCGAGCGCCCAGATGAGCGCTGTGATCTCGCTGGATGTCGAGGTGGTCTCGTTGTCCGTGAGGTTTTGGATCTCTACGAGGGTGGAGTCGCGGTGCTTGCCGACTATTGCACCTTGAAAAGAGAAACCTTCTTCGTCTTCTCCGACGAGTACAACTGACCATCCGTCTTGACCATGTTGGCGTGGGTGTTTGGAGCCGTCGGTGTATAAATACAGGCGAGAATCTCGTGGGAGCTGTCGGTATGGAAATGTTCGCACCATGTAATCTGAAACCTCGTTGTGGCAACGGTCGGTAAAGTCGAAGGTGAGCCTGGGAGCCTGAAGTCGTCGAAGGTGCTGGAGTAAGGGCTCCTGTTCGTCGAAGTCGATGTGGTAGAGGATATTGTCGGTCTGCTGGTCGCGGGTATGAACCTCGCGGGAGAAACGAACATGCCGTACTGCCTCGTGGCTCTCCGCATTCGGCAGGTCGGTCTGTCCGTGTAGGATCTGGGTAGCGTCAAGGGAGTCAAAAATGGGAGGTTGTGGCCGGCAGGAAGTTGATGTACATGGCCGGCTCGGTGAGTCGCAAAATTGTCGGTCTCGATCGCCATCTTGGCCAAAATGGCTAGTACGTCGATGCCTTGTTGGTGGCTCTGGTCGTTCTTGCCACAGACGGCCGCACCCCCCCCCGTGTCGTACTCACAAAGCGATGCTTCCTCTCGAGGCGTAGGCGGTGGCGTCGTCATCGTCGGGAACGACCGTGACTGGGCTTCCGCTGGTGGAGGATGTGAGTCGACATGCTGCCGTCGAGGTTGGGTGGCGGTAGTTGGTCGGTCCGCTAGCGTATGTGGTTCTAGTGTGGGATCTGTGTGAGACAGCCTTCTCGCGCTCCCCAAGCGAGAGGTAGAGGCCGAGGGGATGGTCCACGGTCCACTACTAGGCTGTAGCATGTTGGGCGGTGTGTGGATTTCCCACATGTCGCCATGCTCGTAAAGATCTGGAGGTGCGCTCTCCCCAACGCGCATGCCGCTATTGGCTGATGAGAGGGTAGGTGAAACTTGTGAAGTGTCGTGTGGTGAATCGGAGCTCACCAGGGGCTCAAATAGTCGGCGCCTGACGTCGTCGGCGTAACCACTGCAGGAGTCGGAAGTGCCGTCGTTGCGCTGACAGTCTTCTGGTATGATGCTGGGCCGTTCCCCCTGGGCCAGTTGCCCCCCAGGGGGTGAGGGCCCCGTTAGTTTTTTGGTGAGTTGACCGCAGGGGCTTCCTCGTCGTTGAGGAAGGTTGGCACTCGGTCTCCTGGGTCTGCGAAGCCGTCTCCGATGTCGCAGATACGGACTTTCTTGGGCTTGGCCGCTCGTCTAGATGATCCGTTTTTTCGGAGAGCGGTGCGGGGCGGAGGAGCAGAGGTGGCGCGGTCGGGCGTGGCGAGGTGGAAGCGGGGTGGTGGTTGGATTGGCTGCATCGGTGCGGTAGGAGATATGTCGGCTAGTGGAATGCGCACTGGGGTGGAAGGTGGCGGTGCGTCGTCGTCGGAAGTGATGTCAATGAGGAGAGTAGTGGATGGGTGGTTGTGCTGAGTTGAGTCTGTCCTTCTGGTGCGTGGTGGTGGCGCTGAGCTGGGTCGGTCATTCTGCGGGTCGGGTGGGTGGAAGTCGATGGGCGTAGGTTGCTCGGTGGGGATCGGCGTATTGGAGGCGGGGGTGGGTAATGGCGTAGGGACAGGGAAGGGATATGCGTCGCTCGCAACAGGGGTTGGGCTGCAAAGGTCGTCGTCGTCGGCTGGGATTGGAGTGTGCACGCTGGCGTCGTCGGCGTCGTGGCATGGGCGTCGCGCAGTAGGAGTGGCGGTTGGCGTCGCAGGTGTCGGTCGTGGTGGTGGTGTGCTGCTGCGCTGTCCGCTGTTGCTGGGCTGTCCACCGCTGCTGCTGCCGCGGTTTCTGAGGTAGAGTTGATAGCCCGAGTCATCGGAGGTAGACGGTGGGGTCAGCAGTTCGAGTGCCGCTTGAATCTGTTTGTCGACTTGTGCTTGTTCAGCGTCTGCTTGGGCTTGCAGTCGTGCGTCTTCCTCGTCTCGTTCTTGGAGTCGTGTGTCGAGCTCCCTGAGGATGTCCACGTCGATGCTGGTGCCGAACTCGTGGGCTTGCTGTAGTTCGCAGTGCAGTCGCTCGCGCTCCTGTCTGTGTTGCTGAAGGTGCTCCTGTAGTTGGAGTTGGTGCTGCTCCTGGAGTTCGTTCTCGAAGCGCTGCATGTCACGGGAAGTGCCTCGAAGCCTGTCGATCTCGCTGTTGTACTCGCTCTGGGCCGTCAAAGTGCGGTACTTCTGAGCCTGGACCTGTCCGAACTCCTCCAAAAGTAGCTCCTTGGCATCCTGAAGCCGGTTCTGTTCAAGCCTCGCGATGTTGCTGATGTCCTGCTGAGCCTGAGCTTTCTCGGAGAGAAGACGTTGCTGTTGTTCGTGGCAGCGTTGTTGATATTGTTGGACCATGATCTCGGCGTTCTCGTGTAGCTGGTGTCGGAAGGTCTCTTCCTCTTGCTTCCTCTGGATGATGAAGGTGGCGAGGTGCGCTGACTCTTCCTCCTTGAGCTGGTCGCGCAGGTTGGCCTCCTTCTGCTGGTAGTGAGCCATGTTCTCCGTGATGGATTCGCGAGCCTCGTGTCGGAGCCGCTCCTCGCGCTGTCGGAAGACTTGGATCTCGTCGTAGTACGACTGTCTCTGCTGGAATTGTGCTTGCTGAAATTGTTCCTGACAGTGTTGTAGATGTTGCGAAAGCTCCTGAATCTGCTCGGTCTGCAGTTGACGCTGTGCTTCGTGTTGATCGGATTCGGCACGTTCATGGTGGAGAAACGCCAGATGGTGTTGGTGTATCCCGTGGTTGCGCTGCTGCTCATCCACTCTCCTCGTCAGCACGTCAATGAGTTTCCGCAGGTCGCTGTCGTCGTTGGTAGTCGAAGCCGGCGCTGGCTCAGACACAGGTTGATGAGCTGGTGGTCGCTGTCGTCTCTCGGGGTGTGGTGTCTTGCCCCTGACACGGTGGCGCACGTCATCTTCACCGTCCCCGTCACAACTGTCTTCCGAGAGTTCAGCATGTCCTCGATGCTGTTTGGCCTCGGAGATGAGTGCCTTGAGGGATGCGATCTCGTACTTGATCTCGTCGTGCTCCTTATTGAGGTCGTGAATCTGGCTCTCGACGATCTGCTGTCTCTGGATCCGTGACTCCACTTGAGATCTATATTGAGCAATGCGAGCCATCGGCGTGTCCAGCAGGTGTAGCATGGTCTTGACTATGGCTATCTCCTCGATCAGGCGGGTTGGGTCAACTTGAGCTTGCCTGGCTCCGAGGACTTGGTCGGCGAGACGTGCCATCCTCGCCACCTTGGTCGTGTGCCAGACCCGACGTATGTCTGGCTCGTCGGGAGGGAGAGAAAAACTTTCGTGTCCCTTGGCATCCGAAAGCAGGGCGGGCATTACCTTATCAGTGACCTCCAACTGTCGTTTCGTCAGCTTTTGCAGATGTTGGTGGTCGTTGGTGGTGTCCTCGGGGGCCTGGCGGCGTCTTCTCGAGGGAGGCCGCTTCGTTCTCGGTGTGGTGTAGTCGTACTGATACTGCTGCTGGTGCTGGGCGTAGTTGTGCTGCTGTCGGTCTTCGTCGTGGTGGGAGGTGTGGTGGTGCTGGTTGTGCTGGGGCTGGTACCGTGGCTGCTGCTGTCCTTGCCCTCCGTGGTGTCGGCGGTGTGAAGAGCCAGATGCTGGTGTGCTTGACCTCCATGGCCACGGCTTGGCACCCACTGGATGACCGTGAGACTTTGCGTTGGCTGCCATAGCGCTGGTCTCGTGGTCCTGCAGCTCGTTCTGCTGGGGGCGCTGGTGCTGCTGCGCGGAGTGGTGGCCGCTGAGGAGGTCGGCCGCCTTCACGACTCGGAGAAGAGCCCGTGCCGAGGCTCGGCGTTCTCTCTGCCGCCTGTGCCAGGCGGGCTCCTGGGGCGTCGGGCCTCTCCAGGGCGCGCCGAAGGCGCGCGGCAGCCGCCAGAGGCCAGGGCGCGGCAGCGGCGGCGGCGAATCGCCGATCCGCGGCGCGCTGAGCCCGGCCTCGCGATCGGCCTGCGAGGCGGGATCGATCGGGCGGCAGGCGCCGATCGAACCTGACCGATCGATCGGGTCGCAGGCCCAGATCGCCAGAGGCCAAATGGGCTTCTTTCTGCTCCTCCTCCTCCTCCTCCCTCCTCCTCCTCCTCCTCCTCCTCCCTCCTCCCTCCTCCTCCTCCTCCTCCTCCTCCTCCCTCCTCTCCTCCTCCTTCCTCCTCCTCCTCCTCCTTCTCTCCTCCTCCTCCTCCTTCCTCCTCCTCCTCCTCCTCCTCTCCTCCTCCTCCTCCTCCTCCCCTCCTCCTCCCTCCCTCCTCCTCCTCCTCCTCCTCCTCCTCCTCCTCCTCCTCTCCTCCTCCCTCCTCTCCCCCTCCTCCCTCTTCTCCCCTCCTCCCTCTTCTCTCCTCCTCCCTCCTCCTCCTCCTCCTCCTCCTCCTCCTCCTCCTCCTCCTCCCACTCCTCCTTCCTCCTGCTGCGTTCGATGGCAAGAGGGCTCCCCGAGGACACCTCGCCACTGCCCGGCTCCTGCTGCGCGGCCGCGGGGCCCGCGGGTCCCGCGGGCTGCGGCGGCGCGGCGGCGGCCTCTCCGGGCGGCTGGCTCCGCGGCGGCGGCGCCGCGGGCGCCTGCAGAGGCCGGGAGCACGGCCCCACCACGGGCGCTGCGACGACGACGACGACGACGACGACGACGACGACGACGACGACGACGACGACGACGACGACGACGACGACGACGTCCACCACCACCACTACCACCTCCACCACCACCACCACGACGACGACGACGACGACGACGACGACGACGACGACGGCGGCGGCCCACATTAGGCGCTTTCGCCCAGACTCGGGCCCCCGGACCATCGCAGCGGGATCCGGCTCGAGCAGTGCCGCAGAGAGGTCGGGTCCGAGGCTACTGCTGTGTTCAGGGGGTCCACGACCGTGCGGTGACAGACCGCGTGGCGGCCTCGGAGTCCCAAGAGACCTCACCGCGCGGCCCGCCGCCGCACGGTCCTGGGGATCTGGGGGCCCTGGTCGCCCGCGGCGTCCTCGGAGAACGGCCCGAGCCCCGGAACCGTGCCGTGACCCCGGAGCCCAACTGGCTCACCGCGCGGCGTGGTCACCACCGCACTGATTGGGGGCGCTGGTCCCAGGTCGAATGACAATCTCAAAGCAATTGGAGCTGAAGTCGGAATCTATCCTGTCGTCCAGCAGAGCGCTGGTTCACCCCTCTCCTGAGAGTCGCAGTTTTCGCGCCCAGATGCTGCATCGACGAACGGACCGATGAGACGTGCAAGAGAGCAAGGCTATGCTGGCGATGCGTCGGGGATTGTCATTCTACCTAGATTATTTGCGCCATAGACCCCCAGACCCCCGACGCCATGATCCTTTCATTACGTCGACCCCTGGAGGTCTCGACCCATTCCCCTCGACTGGTTTTTCATCCCGAGCCGTTTCTTGACGGCCTCGAGGGCCCGGAAGGGCCCCCAGAGGCCGAGAGTAGCGGAAAACCTCCCGCCATGATTTTGTTCATTGCCCGAGGGGGGTCTGGGTCTCACGACGGCGACGGGCGCCCGGGGCTCCGCGCGGGCTGCTCGGATCGGCGCCGGAGCCCCCCCCCCCCGCCGGGGCGCCTCTGGCGCCTGGGTCTCGGGGTCCCAGGCCCCCGACGTCGTGATTTTCTCCTGACGTGGGCCCCATGAGGTCTGGACCCCTTCTCGTGGACCCGCTCTTCCTCCAGAGTGGCGTTTTGACTGTCCTGGAGCCCGGTGAAGGCCCCTACAAGCAGAAATGTTTGAAACACCTCTCGTCGTGTATTTTCACGACGAGAGGGGGTCTGCTTGGATGGCCGCGGGGGTTGCTAAGGGAATAAGGGTGTATTAAATGGTTTCGAACGTAACTTACATCTGGCATAATATAGGTTCTGAATCAGTTGCAAGTGTCCTGAGCGGCTTACGGGGGGGAAAGATTTGGGCCAAGTGGGCGTGGCCCAGTTACCAGAGTTGCCCAACTGACGCTTTTAGACCACTTGGGGCATTTGTAACCTCCATCTTTACAAGCTGGCTACGCTATGCCAGATATGGCCCCCTTTCACATCCACCAATACAAAGGCCTCTGAGATGGGGTCCGAGTAGATGGGGTCGGAGGATCGCGCCGCATCGGCGCCGTCAGCGTGGGGATAATCGGGCTCCGCATCGCGCCGCATCGGCGATGTATCGGCGATGCGGCGCGATCCTCCGACTCCATCTGGGAGGCCAGACCCCCGACATCAAGATTGTTTCATCACGTCGACCCCCCGGGGGTCTCGACGCATCCCCCGGGACCGGCGTTTCATCCTGAGTCATTCTTTCACGGCCCCGAAGCACGGCAAGGGCCCCCCAGAGGCCGAAGACAGCGAACAACTTTTTACGCCGTGATCTTTCTTACGACTCGAGGGGGTCTGGGAGGGGAGGCCCCATCTCGGAGGCCCAGCTTCCATTCCACGATCCCTTCAGCGGCCACCGCGGCCGTCCGAACGGGCCCCGTCTCCCCTTCGGTGGCAACTCTTGGGAGCCTCCCATCCCCTCTTGTCGGCCCTTGCGAGTCGACGCTGATCGACGCTAGTCGACGCTACATCGACGCTCGATCGACGCCAGCCGACGCGGAATCGGCGCTGTCTCATCGACTCCCAAGCGCTGATCGACGCTGTAGTCGACGCCCAAGACGGAAGTGAAAGGGCGCACCAGGCCTGCGTGGCCCGCCCCTCCGCCGGACTTCCCAGGCCACGAGAAGTGGGCGCGGCTGCGCACTGCGCAGGACCCCAGGAGGCCGCGGAGTCTCGGCTGGGTCTACAAAAAGTGCGTTCCCTCCAAGTCTGAAGCGTGCGTGGGCACCGCGCGACCACTCTGCCGTTGGCTTTTCACCTCCGAGCCTGGGGCGGCGCGGCGGGGTCGCTGGCGGCGGGGCCGGGCGGCACGGGCATCCGGAGGTGCTCCACCAGCCAGTCGCAGAGCTGCGGCCCCCGGGCGCCCAGGACGGAGCCGACGAAGCCCCGGAGGGCCTGCATGCGGTCGCTGGCGCTGGCGGGCGGGTGGGCCTCAAGGTGTCGAGAGGGGCGGAGGCGTCGCAAGAGGAGGGGGAGGGGGAGGAGGAGGAGGAGGAGGAGGAGAAGGGGGAGGAGGAGGAGGAGGAGGAGGAGGAGGAGGAGGAGGAGGAGGAGGAGGAGGAGAGGCGGAGGAGGAGGAGGCGGAGGAGGAGGAGGAGGAGGAGGAGAAGGAGGAGGCGTCGAGGAGGAGGCGGGGAGGAGGAGGAGGAAGGGGGATGATGATGATGATGATGATGATGATGATGATGATGATGATGATGATGATGATGATGATGAGGAGGAGGAGGAGGAGGAGGAGGAGGAGGGGGAGGAGGAGGAGGAGGAGGAGGAGGAGACGACCGTACGAAGGGTCAGTGTCTTGCGCAATCCACACTGATCCGCCACCCTTCAAGGGGGTATGAAGCGACACGGCGGCGGGAGAAGCCCCATGACTAAAAGCCCTTACACGGGAGGCACTCGAGGCACGCGGGGACAAGGTAGGGGGACGCGGCGAAGCGGATGGTGCAGGACGGCACCACGAAGGAGACCCAGCAGACAACGAAGTCCCCCGCGATCGATGAAGCTCGACAGCACGGCGCGCCAGCTCTAATGACATATCGACGAGAACGGGACTGCAGCAGCGGAGTTGAAGAAGGTCGGAGCGTCGAAGATACGGCGTATCAGGAACAGCCCAGTCATGTGTAGCAAGATCGGCATGTATAGCGCCACCGTCAGGGTCCAGGGACGCCCAGTCCATGTCGTAGATATCTGCCAGCTGTGCAGCAAGCTCGGGACGGATCGTAGCATCTTCATGGTCGGGACGGCCACGACATGCAGCGTCGCCACCGCGCGGCAGCGCATCACCGACGAGAAGAGCATGGCGGCCTGGCGGGACGGAGCTCGCAGGCTCGTCGCGCCAGCAGAACAGATCGTCAGGAGGAAGTTCACCAGACTCGGGGTCGCCACCACACTCATGCATATCAGCGTGGTCAGGAAGATGGGCGGCACGGGCATCAGGAAGAAGTTCAGCGGGGTTGCCACCCCTTTCATGCAGAGCACCTAAGTCATGCTGGAGGTCGGCACGAGGAGTCATAAGCACGAGCATCAGATGCGGGGTCGCCACCATGTTCATGCAGATCAGCGCCGTCAAGCTGGAGGTCGGCATCAGGAAGGGGAACATCAGCGGCGGGATCACCACCACACGCCTGCAAACCAGCGCTTTCAGGAAGAACGTCGGCACGGGCAGCAGGAGGAGGAAGTTCATCAATTGCAGGATCGCTACCGTACTCAGGCAATCCAGCTCCTCCAGGGGGAATGTCAGCACGGGCACCAAGAAGAAAATTATCACAGGCGGGATCGCCACCACGTTCGGTCTCATCAGCGCCATCACGTCGGACCGTACAAATCTCAAGAGCACTCCGACCAGCAGCTCGCTCACGCCATAGTGAAGTAGCCAACGGCGTCGCCGAAGCAGGACACGAGCAGAGACGAGACAGGCGAACGTGCTCCACAGCGACTGCTTCCTCGGTGACCTCCTATGGCTTCAGTCGTCGCCACAGCTGCGAGCGGGAAAGCACCTGCCAGCGACTCTCGTCGCAATCCGCGGGCCGACGTCGAGGACCTCGAAACAATGGAAATCGAGTGCCTTGGACGAGTCACGGTACTACCAGTGCGGAGCACCAGCGTCTCACGAAGCAGCAGCCACATCACCACGAGCGCCACACGCACTCGAGGGAGGCCGAAGAACGCCACAAGCAACTGCGGCAACGCCAAGGTGAGCACACCCGCGCCGGTCAGATTCACAAGCGTCCACCTCATCGCAGTTATGTTCATGAAGCCTTCGAAAAAAGCTTCGAAAAAAGCCTTGTGCAGAACAAAGTCAAGACTTCGAAAAAAGCTTCGAAAAAAGCCTTCGAAAAAAGCTTCGAAAAAAGCTTCGAAAAAAGCTTCGAAAAAAGCCTTATGTTCAAGACCAGCTTCGAAAAAAGCCTCGTGCAGAACAAAGTCGTCGGAATGCCAGATGGCGCAGGTGCAGAGCCAGGGTGCACAGCAGCGGCGACGCCAGGGCAGAGGACGAGCACCTTCAGGACGAGGGAGAACAGGCTGCCGAGCTTCGGACAACGACAGCTCGACCTCGAAGTCGACGTATGAAGGGGAACTGGGACACACAAATAGATAGACACAAATAAAATTATCCCCCATATTTTCCTATATTTTCTGGGTTTTGTCTTCCCCCCCACTTCCCGTATTTTCCCATATTTTCTGGGAATCGCCGATTAATTGTGTCTGTGTGTTTTTTCCCCTCCTGAACGTAGTGCACCACAGAGTCATCACCGACGGCACCTTCAGCGTAATCAGGGTGAACCTGCTCGACCACACCAGATGGCGAATGAGAGCAGTGCGATGCAGACGACATGCGGTGCAGCCGAAGCTCGGCAACGAAAGGAGGCAGCTGCGGGATGTCAGAGCCGTCGCACGCCGCGATCGGGTTGACCACGGGCGAGGAAGCACGAGCAGGGTGAACATGCTCGCCACCACCTGGCGGCGTAGGAAAGCAGGGAGAAGAAGAAGACGCAGCCCGTTGTGAAGCTCGGCGCATGCGGGATGTCAGAAGCGTCGCGCTCCGCATTCGGGCAGACCGCGTGCGGGAGGCAGGAGGCGGACATCTGGGCGTGGTCGGAATGCCGTCCACCAGATGTTTGGCCACACGCGATGACGTCTCCACCATGGCGAGGAATGAAGACTGGATGTCCCTGCACGGGCCTGGATGCGGAAGCAAATCAGCCAGCAGCAACCGACGGGGAGGTGCAGGATCAGAATCCGCAGGGCCCACGCACATCGGGATGCGATGCTTCGCCTTGCCGTAGCAGGTGTTCTCGCGGAGATACTCCTTGAATTCCTGGTCGGTGAGCTGCTTCTTGGCGGCGGGGATGGCCATGCACATCGAGTGCGAACGCTGACCAGAAAGCTGCTGAAGTTCATGATGAAGGCGGAGGCCCCGAAGAACACGTCGAACATTCTGCGCCGCCTGCTGAAGAACAACGACATGTCGGACTCCAAGAGGAGCGGGAAGAAGAAAACTACGAGCAAGAGCACGCTCACGCCGGGCAGCGAGCTGCGCCACACTGCGGCGATGCACCATCCAATTCGTCACACTCAGCCAGAACACCAGCGGCAGACATCGCAACCATTGAACATGCGAGGGGGGGCGGCAGCGCGTGCGGGGCTGCGTTCTAACATGCGGCTTGAGCCAAAATGGCTACGGAGGATGAGGGGGAGCAGGAGGAGGGGGAGGGGAGGAGGAGGAGGAGGAGGAGGAGGAGGAGGAGGAGGAGGAGGAGGAGGAGGAGGAGGAGGAGGAGGAGGAGGAGGAGGAGGAGCCAGATGCCCTCGCGCCGCAGGAAAAGAATGAGGCCCTGGCCCAGCAGGGCACCCTGTGACAGCAGCAGGAGTGAAGAGGCGGGGCAGAGGCGTCGCCTCTTTGTGGGGGGGAGGCGACACGCCGGGGGGTGGGAAGGAAGGTGCCTTTCTCGGGCCCCGCAGCCCTCGCTGGCCCCCCCATCCATCGCCCCCACACTGCGCGACGCCCGGGAGGCAGGGGCGGGAGCAGCCGGGACAGGGGCGAGAGCACGACCGTGTCACCTCAGCGTCTTGTGGACGGGGCCGTGGCCTGACCAGAGGTGTGGCCCACACTAACGCGGGAGCACGGCCACGCGCACCTGCGCGCACGTTTGCCAAGGGTCGTGGCCGTCCGGACCAAACGTGTGACCACCATTGAGGCGATGGCACGGCCATGCGCACCGGCATGTATCTTGAGAAGGGGTCCGTGCGGACCAAGCAGCGTGCCGCCGCCATTGAGGCGAGAGCACGGCCATGCGCACCTTGATGTAATCTCCCGCGATCACATCACGGCGGGAGGCCGCTGGAAGCCTTAAGAAATCCTGCAAGGATCCGTCGGAAATCTTTCCGCACGTGGGCGAAATAGCGTGACGTGATCCAAGGGGGGGTATGGAGGGGGCCGATCACGGCCGTTCTCGCCCTGACCTTCAAGACACATGCTCAAACAGGGATCGTGGCTATCGGGACCAAACATGAGGCCATCATTGGGGCGAGAGCTGGAATCCTGAACACATTGTGAGGACGTCTCTCGGGAAACGGCTGCTGGACCAACCGACTCTCCTGTGGGACTCTGCTCTGGTCCTTTTTCACTACGATTAGAATCCTCCAGTGAAGCGTTATAAAGGGGGAGGATGCCCCAGACCCCCTCTCATCGCCAAGAACGAGGCAAGACATTTCTGGGGCCCTTCGCCGGGACCTGGGACCGTCAAAACACGAGTCAGGAGGAAAAGTAGGTTCCTGGAAACGGGTCGAGACCTCTGGAGGTCGACGTTACCAAAAATGATGACGTTGGGGGTCTGGCGAAGGAAAGCCTCCACCTCCTTGGCAATCTTGTCCACGACCTGCTTCAGCTTCAACCGCGTGCGGTCGTCGTCCTTCGGGGGGGAGAAAAGACGGCTTAAGCATTCACTTTCAGAGGTCCGCCCGAATTTCTTGGATCTGCGCTGAGCCCCCCAATCGCGCGCGGAGCGCGCCAGGGACTGCGGTGGAGCGCCTCCAAGGGGCTCCAGCGCAGATCCAAGAAATTCGCGCGAAGCTCCGTAGACTTATGCTGATGCAGTTTTTCTCCTTCGAGTCCTTCCACTTGCCGAGCGTCTTGATCTTCTCCGAGACATCCTCTTTCAGCTGCGCGATGTCCTCCTTCGACCACTCGAGGATCCCGCCGCCGTTCTGCTGCGCCGCCGCCGGCGTGGCGTCTGCTGCCAGCGGCCCAGTGGTGGAGCCGACGGCCCTCGAGGGCAAGTTGTCTATCAGAACGTCCAGGGCAGTAAGGCCGTCGTCGAAGTCGCTCCCCGCGACGTTCCCTAGGGAAAACCAACAAATACCGATACCGCCACTCCCTCAGATCTGAGCGCTGCATTTTCGTTCACATGGCGCGTTTTCGCCCGGTTTCGGGCCCTGGGACCATCACAAATCAATCCCGCTCGGAAAATGCAGCAGAAAAATTGGGTCTTTGGGCTCTGGTCGTGTTTTTCAGTGGTTCTGTTTTTTTCGCATCGTCAGACCTCAAGGAACAAATACCGATACCGCTACTCCTCGAATCCCTACCGGCGTGCGTTCTGACCAGGATTCCGAGGCTCTTGCAGCCCAGGGTGGCGAGGGCCCCACAGGAGGCCCGAGAAGGCGAAACTGAGGTGCCACGACGGAAACGGGTCCTGGAATCCAGGGCTTTCTCCAGGCCCAATTTGTCATCCTGGGTGTTTTTGTGGACGGTCCTGGGGCCCGAGAAGGGTCCCGGGCGAGTGGGAACGGCGAAGGAGCTCGAGGACCCCATCGGAGCACCCTGGAACTCTGGGCCCGAGGATCAAACACTCCAGAGCGACATAACTTGTTTCTTGTTCCTCCTCCGCTCCTCCTGAGGCAAACATCGGCATGCGTAAGCATAAACCTTCGGAGGTCCACGCGGAGCGCGCCAGGGGCGGTGCCAGAGGCGCCGCCACGGGATTGAGAACTCCGCGCGGGGCACCGAAAGCTTTTCATGACCCTGAGATCCGACGCTGCGGAACAAACAGCATGATGAAACATCACGACTGAAGCCACGGACCCCATCCTGGCCATCGCTCGGGCGTCCATTCCCTGTTTTTTTTGCGGTTTCGTGCGTGGTTGTTTTTTCGCGAAATGATCGAAGATGTTCCTCGATGGCCCTCGCCGAAAGACAAATGCACACGTCCGAGCGATGCCAAGCAGCTCTCTGCAGCACTTTTTTCGGGCCGCATCGAGCTGCGATGGCCCGGCGTTGCCCGAGACTCTGCGACCACGCCCGGTGCGGCAAAAAACTGCAACGCCCGCTGTGCCGAGGGGGATTTTCGACGAAAATAAAAGATACCCCAAACATACCCCCAAAAGGGTCAAAAAGTACTTCAAAAATAGTCACCAGCTTTCACAGGACATCTAGGCTTATGTTTTTTCTGTTCTTCTTCGGCTTCCTGCGGCGTCGTCTGCAACAGGTGCTGCTGCTGCCGGCTCGTCGTGGGCTCTGCCGGCGCCTGGCAGCCTGGGCCTCTTCGGCGGCGGGGGGGCGGCGGCACCGCTCGCGCGGGCCCAGGGGGCCGACATCGCAGGGGGCCGGCCCGGGTCGACCCTCCCTGGCTACAAGCAGGGGTGGCCCTGCTCGGGTGACCGCGCTGGTTGCTAAAGGGATGCTGGGATTGAAAGTGGAGACTAGGGTAGGCTACATCAGGCCTAACTTGGCTCATGAGTAGGCTGCACACACCGTTAGTGGCTCAAGAGGATTAGGTAACTCCAGTGAGTGGGCTCCGCCCACTTGACCCAGATTTCTGCCCACCGTAAAACGCTTGGGGCACTTGCAGCCCACTCATAAGCCAGGTTAGGCCAGATCGAACTTACCGTACTATCCACTGCAAGCCCCCGCATCACCTTGCAACACCCGCGGTCCTTCAAGTATGCAGTGGGCATGCGCAATGAGAGATCTGGCCCCCCACGAAGAGTGCAGGGGGCCCGTCTGCGTCGACGCTGAGCTTCCTGATGAGGTGACCCAGGGCTCCGTGGCACAGCGGGACACCAGACATTCTCGTCGGGCACCCGTTGGCAGGCCAGCCTCTTACTCGGTGTGCCTAAAAGAGGAGGAGGAGGAGGAGGAGGAGGAGGAGGAGGAGGAGGAGAGGAGGAGGAGGAGGAGGAGGAGGAGGAGGAGGAGGAGGAGGAGGAGGAGGGAGGAGGAGGAGGAGGAGGAGGAGGAGGAGGAGGAGGAGGAGGCTAGGGGGAGGAGGAGGAGGAGGAGGGGAGGAGGGGAGGAGGAGGAGGAGGAGGAGGAGGAGGAGGAGGAGGAGGAGGAGGAGGAGGAGGAGGAGGGGAGGAGGAGGAGGAGGAGGAGGAGGGGAGGAGGAGGAGGAGGAGGAGGAGGAGGAGGACGAGGGGGAGGAGGAGGAGGAGGAGGAGGAGGAGGAGGAGGCGGAGGAGGAGGAGGAGGAGGAGGAGGAGGAGGAGGAGGGAGGAGGAGGAGGAGAGAGGAGGCGGAGGAGGGAGGAGGAGGAGGAGGAGGAGGAGGAGGAGGAGGAGGAGGAGGAGGGGAGGAGGGGGAGGACGAGGGGGAGGAGGAGGAGGAGGAGGGGGAGGAGGGGGGAGGAGGAGGAGGAGGGGGAGGAGGAGGGGGAGGAGGAGGGGGAGGAGGGGCAGGAGGTACTGCGGGCGAGGGTGACATCTGGTGCGCGGCTTCGGGGGGGCCCCCGGCCTCGAGCGGTCTAAGCCCGAGCGCTCGGGGGCCAGTGCTGGGGGGGCGTGGTCCCGCACCGACCCCTTGAGATCCGACGCTGCCAGCAACTTATGCAGCACCGCGAGGGATCACGACCAGAGCGCTACAGCCCCCCTCTGAAATCAGACGCAAGTCTTTATGTTGCCCCTCGCCCCACCATTTTCAATGTTGATGGATGCGCGCAGCGCGGCCCGCGCGGTCAACAAAAATAGCAATCGCCGGAATCGGTGTCAACATGGAAATCGGGGGCCCAGGGGCGTCACCATCTCGCGGGAAAAGCTTGTGCTTGATTTCGAGGAAGGGTGCAGACCCCATCTCTCTTTGCCGCATCTTTCGAGGCGGGCCGATTTGGGAGGCCCCCAGGGCCCGCAGCAGGGCGAACTCGCCCAGCGTGGAGAGATGGCACCGCCCAGGCCCCGATGACGGCCACTCCGGCGAAAGGGCCACTCCTGCACGTGGCCGGCCTCCCGCTGGGGGGGCGGTCGCGCGTCGCAGCCCCGGCCCCGCGCGCCGTGGAAGCCAAGCGGCTGAGGCCGACGGCGATTGTGATGTTGATCGTGAGGGTGACGGAGACGCCCAGCGCCGAGGGCGGTGACGACCACGGTGCCGACGATGCCGTCGACGACGGCGACGAAGCCTGAGATCTGGTCGTGGCACTTTTTTTTCGCACCGCGCGCGTTCGCCCAGCTTTTCGGGCCCCGGGGCCATCGCAGATCGACCCAGCTCGAAAAAGCGGCAGAGAGCTGAGGTCCAGGGCCCCGGTTGTGTCATTCTTCGCGATGCTGCCTTGTTGCTTCGCAGCGCCGGCTCTCAGGGGAGACCCAGACCTCCGATGCCCTGGCCTTCTCAGCGCAGGGGGCCCCGGAGCTGCTCCTCCCTCCCAGGGGTGGGCGGGCTGCTCTTGGGAGGTCTCCGAACGCAGGGGGCCCCAGAGCTGCTCCTCCCTCCCAGGGGTCGGCGGGCTGCTCTTGGGAGGTCTCCGGGGGCTCGGGAGGCTGAAAGTTGCGACCGACCTCGGTCTCTCGCTTTCTCCTCCCAAGCAACGTGTCTGTCTGTAAGGGTCCGACATCTTTTTTTTTGAGGGGGGAGTGTGTATATATATATATATATATATACATATATATATATATATATATGCAAGACTGCACTGGCGCTTCGTGCCATGCACCTTGGTCCTTGAAATTTGGCATGCAGGCGGAATAGCAGTAAAGTCAAACCGACAATTTAGCGATAACTCCTGGTTGCCTTTTCCGGCATCGCTGCTATAATACTGTTATTAGTTATCCTTCCTCCATGCTTCTTTTTCATGCTTTTCGCCATACCCTGCGCATTCTCCCCATCCTCCTCAGCTCTTTTTTGCGGAGGCTCCTCCTTGGAGAGCCTCTAGGGGCCTCAGAAAAGTTGTTTCAGGTTTTCTTAAAGCCTTCTGGAGGCCTCCTGGGCGTATTCTGGGGGCCTCTGGGGGCTTCCTCGGGCCACCCTGCCTCCAACCGCGGTCTCCCTGAACGACCGAATCACGATTTGGAATTCTTCGGAGGGTGTCTTTGGACCATCTTAGGCCGCCATGGGGCTCTCTGAGGGCCATCTTGGACCCGTATTGTGCCGTTTTGGGGCTCTCTTGGACTCTTTCAGATGGTTGTGGGGAGATTTGGGAGCCTCCCAGGCGGCTTCGGACGCGCAGAAGACCACCGTCTTGGAGCGTCGGGAAGCCGAAAAGAGGAGAACCCCAAAATTCACCAACAAACCACAGAAAATCAATGATTTTTGCCTCGGGAGGCCTTCTTGGGAGTGCTCTTGGAGGCCTCTTGGGCCATCTTGAGGTCACGTCGGTCACTCTTGGAGCGCTCTTGCGCTGTCTTGGGGATCTCTGGGACGTCTCCGATGACCACCCTGATCGCCCTAAGTGTGCTGGGAAGGCTTGGCAAAACGCCCTGCGAGGCCCGGTGGCCGCTTCGAGGCCCGTCCGGAGGGTCCCAAAGCCCCAGATCCCAGGAGTCAGTTTTTTTTTTTGGGGGGGGGGGCGGGTTGTCCCCCCGCCCAGGCTTGTAAAATTATCCTGGCGACGGACCCAACCATCTGCAGTTGTGGGTACCGCAATGCGCTGCACTGGGTGGGGGGGAACGCATGCGGGCGGTAGAACTCGGGCCGTCGGGCGAACTCCCTATGGGGCCACGAAGCGCCGTACTGGGTGGGGAGAAAATGCCAAATTTGGTGTGTGGAACGCATGCGGGCGGTCCCACTGGTGGCTTCGGTGGAGCTCCCTATGGGGCCACGAAGCGTATGAGGGTGTGCCAAATTTGGTTTCCGGGACGCATGCGGACGGTCCCATTTGGGGCTTCGGCGGAGCTCCCTATGGGGCCACGAAGCGTTGTACTGGGTGGATGAAAATGCCAAATTGGGTTTCCGAGACGCATGCGGACGGTCCCATTGGGGGCTTCGGTGGAGCTCTTTACGGGGTCACGAAACGCCGTAGTGTGTGGTGTGAAAATACCAAAATTGTGTTTCAGGGACGCATGCGGACAATCCCACTGGGGGCTTCGGTGGGGCTCTCTATGGGGCCACGAAACGCCGTACTGGGTGGGGTGAAAATGCCAAATTAGATTTCCGGGACGCATGCGGACAGTCCCAGGGGCTTCGGTGGGGCTGTCCTATGGGGCCACGAAGCGCTGCACAGGGGGGGGGACGCATGCAGACGGTAGCACTGGGACTTTCGGTGGGGCTCCCTATGGGGCAACGAAACGCTGTACTGGGTGGGGGGGGCGCATGCGGACGGTAGCACTGGGACCTTCGGCGGGGCTCCCTGCCGGGCCACGGAACGCTGTACTGGGCGTGGGGGACGCTTCGCTGTACTGGTTGGGGGGGACGCATGCGGACGGTAGCACTGGGACTTTCGGTGGGGCTCCCTATGGGGCCACGAAGCGCTGTACTGGGTGGGGGGGACGCATGCGGACGGTAGCACTGGGACCTTCGGTGGGGCTCTCTATGGGGCCACGAAACGCCGTACTGGGTGGGAAAGACGCATGCGGACGGCAGCACTGGGACCTTCGGTGGGGCTCCCTATGGGGCCACGGAGCGCTGTACTGGATGGGGCGACGCATGCGGACGGTAGCACTGGGACCTTCGGTGGGGCTCCCTATGGGGCCACGAAGCGCTGTACTGGTGGGGGGGACGCATGCGGACGGTAGCACTGGGACCTTCGGTGGGGCTCCGTATGGGGCCACGAAACGCTGTACTGGATGGGGCGACGCATGCGGACGGTAGCACTGGGACCTTCGGTGGGGCTCCCCATGGGGCCACGGAACGCTGTACTGGGTGGGGGGGGACGCATGCGGACGGTAGCACTGGGACCTTCGGTGGGGCTCCCTATGGGGCCACGGAGCGCTGTACTGGGTGGGGGGGACGCATGCGGACGGTAGCACTGGGACCTTCGGTGGGGCTCTCTATGGGGCCACGAAACGTGTGAGGGGTATGCTGAAACGGGTGAGGATGATGATGATGATGATGATGATGATGATGATGATGATGATGATGATGATGATGGTGATGCTGATGCTGATGATGATGATGAGGATGATGATGATGATGATGATAATGGTGATGATGATGATGATGATGATGATGATGATGATGATGATGATGATGATGATGATGATGATGATGGTGATGGAGGAGGGAGAAGGGGGAGGAGGAGAGGAGAGGAAGAGGCGGAGGAGAACGCGCGGCGACGTCTCTTCAAAACGAGGACCCAACAACACAGGTTGGTTGGGAAATATCGGAAGAGGAATATGTATATGTGTATATATATGTATAAAGACCAGGGGTCGTCGGACCTGAAACTGGTGGGGCGCCATTGTCTCCCATTGTCTTCCGCTGTCTCCCATTTTCCCTCGTTGTCTCGCGTTGTCCCCCATGGGCTCCCATCGACTCCCGCTGTCTCGCGTTGTCTCCCGTTGTCGCCCGTCGAACACTCGAGGTGTCTTTGTCTGTACCCCTTCTCTCCGCCAACGCGTACAACTGTTTTAGGGTCTTCTGCCGAAAGGACGTGCAGTGGAAGCTCATGCCAAGAAGCATCCTGCTTGCCTGCAAGGTGCCCTTGGTTTCCTGGGTTTCGATGGTTTTGCTATGGAGAGCGTGACGTCCCCACACCAAAAATCAGTGGACGTCCTTGGGTCTCAGGGTTGGGTTTCTTGTGGAAAGTTTCTTGTGGTCGAGCGTCTACTGCAAGACTGTTCAGGTCGTCGGGGGTCTTGGGGGAAACGCAAGGGTCGCAGGCCCACCGAGACAGAGGAACATCACGCAATGCGAAGTGGATCGGGCCAGGCTTAGGTCGGGCATGTCCTCCTACAGGCGGATCTTCGAATCCATAATCAAACATCGTCCAAACATAATCGAACGAGCACGACAAATCGTCCCCATGCTATTTTTAAAACTATTCTCCAATCTTCCTCCTGTAGAGGGACACGCCCGACTCGAGGCCAGGCACAGAGACGGGCCGCGTTCTCCTCCTCGGAAGATGGCGCGAGAGATCGCGCGCGCTTGCCTTTCTGCCCTGCGGCGCCCGTGGGGGCCCCTCGGGGCGTCCTTTGGGCACTCCCGGGGGGCCTCTTCGGGTGCGTCCCCAGGCCCCCCTTCGCGTCGTGACGACAGTGACGGCGGGCGGCCTCGTGCAGTCCTCTGCCTCCGGGGGGCCCCCCGCTGGGCCTCGGGGCCGTCCAACGCCGCTCGGGAGGAGAAGTCTGTCCCTCGGGCAGAGGAGGAGGAGGAGGAGGAGGAGGAGGAGGAGGAGGAGGAGGAGGAGGAGGAGGAGGAGGAGGAGGAGGAGGAGGAGGAGGAGGAGAGTAGGAGGGAGGGGGAGGAGGGGGCCCAGGCCTCGGGGAGCCCACGTCGTGAAGCAGCCGCGGCGCCGGGGATTCGGGGTCCTGGTGCCCTCAAGGGGGCGTTCCCTGGACGCTCCTGGGGTCTCTTGGGCCCCTCCTGGCGGGGTGCCGTGGGGCCTCGTGGGGCCCCCATTGGGTTGGGCTGGGGTCCGTCGGGGGGGGGGGGGGGAGGGAGGGACTGAGAGGAGGGGGAGAGGTGGATGGGGAGGAGGAGGTGGGGGTGGGCACCGTGGATGGACGAGGCTTGGGCGGTCTTGGAGCCGTGTGGAGGCAGTCGTACGGTACATAGTGGGACATCGTGGGGGCTCTCTTGCAGGCCCAGGGGGCGATTCTTGGAGCCACCTTGATGGGAACACTGCCAACGCCAATTACCGTTGCACAACAACCTCAACTATTTGGACGAGCCTCTCGGGGTCCCTGCGGACAGCGATATGACAAGGCCTCTTGGGGCAGATCCCACCAACCTTTTAGGGTGTGAGTGGTTTAGCAAGTTTCTTCTTCCAACCCGCCTTCTTCCTCTTCGGGGAGGGGTTTATCCTTTCACAATTACACAATATGAATGCTACTCTCCTCTCTCCCCTGATGACGTCCGGAAGATGTTCGCCCCCCTTCCGCGCACTGTTTTTTTGCACAGGCTTCCCTGTTACTGGA